GGGGTTACCAGGGATTGAACTCAGGACCTTGTGCTTGCCAGGCAAGCGCATATTCTATTGAGCTATCTCCTTGACGTCCAGGATTGCTTTTCAGTTTTTTTTTTTTGGTACTGGGGATCAAACACATGAGCTTCCACTTACCAGGCAAGCACTTAATGCCGCTGAACCATCTTCCCAGCCTGACAGCTTCCGAGACAGGCTTCTGAGTGTAGCTTCTAAACAGAACTGGGTAAGCCACCGTCCAGTCAACTGGCAACCCAAGCTCTTAGACTCTTAATTATTTTTCTTATTGCTGAGACAAAATACCCAACAACCGAAGTTAAAGGGGAAAGGTCTGTTGGACTCTTAGTTTGCAGAGGTTTCGGCCCATAATCGTCTGGCAGGGTGACACATGGCAGAGGGGCAAGAAGTCACAGCAGCAGAAAACGGCAAAAGCAATAAAGGAGAGAAAACAAGTCTTTCAACCTAGGAGGACACACACACACACACACACACACACACACACACACACACACACACGACAAACCAAGCCACATGGAAGATGAATGCTAGCTGGCCAGGTGGTCCGTCCCCAGGGCAGACTGCCCTCCTGAGTGGGCACACGTCTCTAGCTGTCCAGACAGACCCCCAGGAAAGCAGACCACATCTGGACAGATGCCCGCCGGGCAGTAAGACCCCCTCACGGGACTGCTGCCCGCGCTGACTCCCCGGCTAGACAGACCCATCTGGAGCCCGGCGTACAGAGCTCCAGCTGGACAAGACAAAGGGATGAGACCTCGGCAGACAGACAGACTGACGAGCTCACTCGGAAATGGACCCCTGGCACAGTGACTCTGAGCCTACGGCCTTTAGACCCGTGGTGACAGCCAGCCAGACCACCAGAAAGAAACAAAGCAGCCAACCAGATGCCCAGGACAACCAGGGAGCCACAAGTGCTCCAGCTGGACAGACAGATGGACTCCCAGTCAGAAAAACAAGTAGGCCCTCCTTCCAGAAAGAGCTTCACACTGGTCTTCCCGGTGGGCCGAAGGGCGGCAGGAGGTGTATGTACGAGCGGGGCTCCGGTGGCCCTGGCCCTGCTGCGCTGCCCCTGCCCAGGGCGACCGCCTTCCCAGCCAGGCCAGCGTCTGTCTCACAATGGCAGGTTCATCCTCCTGACACAGGGCTTCCCTAGACTGCCCGAAAGCGCTCGTGTGTCGGCACAGGTGACTGAAGCTTCTCCCAGGCCCTGCCCACACGGCTGTTGGGAGAATGCAGTCAAAGAGAGCAAGCCAAGTGTCCGCTGACGGGCCATGTGCTGTGCTCCGTGAGCACCAGGCCTGTCCGCTCTAGGCTGCTTGCGTGCGGGTAAAGGGATGAGGAGCCTTCCCTTCTCGGGTCACCGCACTTGCTGGCAGTGACATGTTTGTCAAGTTCTGTGAAGCCTCCACACAACAAGCATCTGGACTAACAGAAACCTGGGATTGCAGATAAGCCGTGGAGTTCTCCAGTCACAGGAAACAGGAAGCCAACATCTGTGAGTCCAGCTTTCACACGAGAGGTGGGGTAGGGACTGCGTGCGGGAGACAGGGAAGGAGGAGGCCCGGGATGGCCTGGAGTTGAGGGGGGTCGACGCGCTGCCTGGAAGGTAAACTGACTTCAAAGCCAGAAGTACTAAATTCATTATCTATGGCGACAAGCATAAGAGAAAGAGCAGTGTGCTGAAGGGACATATTATTCTGTCCCATTGTACGAGGAGGATGCACACTGCCTCCTCCAGGAAGGGATCCAAGTGCCAGGTAGAGCTAACTCTTAGGGTCTGTTCCAGAGGCCAAAATCTAGTGCTGTGGGGCTGCAGCCAGCAGGACTCCATTAAGGCTTTTGAGGAGCTCGGCCTAAGCTGAGTGAATAGGCAGCGCTTCTCAGCTACCCATTCTGCACAGAAGCTGCGGCTCCGCAGAGAGAACCAGGCTGTACGGCACGAAAACAGACATGAGGAGGGGAGGACAAAGAAAGGAGGCAGAAATAAGCCCAGGCACAGGCAGCAAGCTCGTCTCTGACAGAGTGGCCAGAAGCATACGCTGGGGGAAGGCCAGCCTCCCTAGTAAGTGGTGCCGGGAGCACAAATGCCGAAGACCAAAGCTAGACACGTGACTCACCGTATGTGAAACTAAAATCAAATACATCAAGCATCTACCTATTAAACCAAACCCTTATTCTGTTGAAAAGTAAAATAGGTAAAACTCTTAAAGCCATAGGCATAGTCAGGACTTTCTCAACAGAAAACCCAGTTGCACAAAAAATTAACATCAAGAACCAATAAGTGGAATTGCATCAACTTAAATAACTTCTGCACAGCAAAGAACATCAAGAGAGTGAAGAGATCCTACAGAATGGGGGGACATTTCTGCCAGCTACTCCTTGGTCAGAGAAGTAGTATCCAGAATATATAAGAAAATAATTTAGACACCCAAAATGAAAGACTCAACCAAAAAATGGGCAACTAAAATGATAGACACTTCTCACAAGAAGTGGAAATGATCAATAAATATATGACAAAATGTACATCTTTGACCATAAGAAAAATGCAAATTAAAACAACACTGACATTTCCTCTTCAGAAAGAAGGGCATTTACAAAGACATCAAATAATAATAAATGCTCATGAGGCTGTGCTAGAAAAGAAATTCTCCTACAGTGATAAGATGTAAACTAATGCCATCACTATGGAAATCAGAATGAAGAGTCCTCCAAAAACTAGAAGTAGATATTTTGCTCAATCCATCTATTCCCCTCCTAGGTATCTTCATGATACAGTTAAAGGTATGATTTATTATTTTACAGTGGTGTGTGAATATTCATGTTTATAGCAGCATAATTCATAATAACTAAATCTTGGAAGCAGCCTACATATTTATCTGAGTAGATAGATAAAATGTACTTATGCACAATGGAGTACTACTCTGCTCTAAAGAAGGATTGTTGTGGCTAATGTCCTTATTTAATTGAATCACCTGTGGAGGCAGGATGAAGAGACAAGCAAGCTTTGTAGGGGCCAGCAGTAGGCACCTCACACAGGACCAAGTATCAACTCTGAAGGGCAGGAGGGGAGAATACACTTACAGTTCTAGTTCCAAGTCTAGTTCCATTTCTTGGGGGGGTGATGCTGATACGATTTATTTTATTAACGTATTTAGTGCACAGTATAGAGTCTACAGGGTTGCACTACATAGATCAGACTCGTAGTGATTTGGCTGCTTTCAGCCTCCCAGGCTCTGGGATTAGGGTGCGCGCCACACGCCCAGTCTCAGTTGCAGAGCTCTCAGCAGCCTCTGTGCATGCCGTGCTGAGGCTCCGTCTCCAGGTCTCCAGGCCTTGAGTGCGCTCAGCAGACGCTCTCCCGCTGAGCTCCGGCCCCAGTCCTCAAGTGATACCTTTTATTTTATTTACTTTGTATGGTACCAGGGATTGAACTCAGGACCTTGTGCTTGCCAGGAAGGCGCTTAGGTCGCTGAGCTATCTTCCCAGCCTTCAATCAATATTTTTAAGTGTTGTCTTTTGTTGTTGTTATTGTTGTTGTGTTGTTTTCTTTTGTTTTGTTTTTTGACAGAACCAGGGATTGAACTCAGACCCTTGTGCTTGCCAGGGAAGCACTTATTCCGCTAAGCCATCTCCCCGGCCCCTCAATCAATATCTTTAAA